TTTCAAGGAAAGTATCTGACACTAAAAACAACAAATCCGTAGAAATTTATAGCGGGCAAATAATGCGAGAGGTGGTCTCAAGTATCTCGTATGTGAAGATACACGACTGGCTTTTCTAAACTTCTCCTCGACCACTATTTCATTGTCGGAATGACCAATTACCCGACATTATGGAAATTTATTTGTTCGGTATACGCGGCGGCATTACTTATTTTTATACGACTAAACCAATTTACTTTATTCCAACTGCTATTCTCGGAAGAAGAAAGAAAAAAATCTGCATCGAAAACAAGTGAATTAAATTAATTATTTGAAATACAGTTGATTCGGGATTGCCAAAACAGAATCGAATATCGAATAAGATTATGGATTTAATTGACGTTGACAGCTACAGACATGGCTTATATCTCCGACATTTTTAATAAAAACAAGTATAATTGATATAAATAGGCTCAACGAGCTCATTTTCTAAGACCACGTCTAACTACGACCTTATAAAAAACCTTACATTTAGTTTAAAAATAATTTTTCGCCTTTCAATTTCGCTCACCCTATGCATCTATGTGATATGAAAATGTAACGTACTCAACGCAATGCTACAGATTTAAAAATATTGCACATTCAGTGAACTTTGCTCAAAAATAACAGTGTAAACAGAATGGGAATATATGAATAGTCTATGTTTTAGTTCACATATCGTGAGTCTATTGTATCTTTTTTAGAAATCTCCAGTTCCAAATAATGAACGTTCGTTTCATTTGGAAGGCTTTTCACTTGAACTGTCTACCGCTTTTACCCTTGCGTGTCATTAATGTACTGCAAACCTTCCTGAGAAGCTTTATTAAGGACACGTGTGTCCTTTCTTATCTGCACGTCGTAACACGGCGAAACTTAACGAATTAACAATTTACACGGCCGTTTTGTTTGCGTAACGTGTCTGCTTGTTCGAATACAAAATTTCAAGCGGAAATTGTACAGCTCACTCGGCACGGGGTGAATGCTACATAATAAAAGAGCAATAACATAATAAAGGAGTTATTTGTAAAGGGTAATTAAAAATGCAGTACCTTGCAAGCCAGAAGCCAACCAAGGCAGGAAAACATAATGTTCCAGAAGTTCCTGCATGGTCTTGGCTATAATATTTGAAAGAAAAAAATTGAAAATAAAATGACGTTACCATATTACAATTGATGGAATAGTATGACTATTTAAGGCATTCTGTTTGATTTATTAATTTATGTAAAATACTAGAAGTTTTTATAATATTTGCTGATATTGTCAATTGTAATAATACGCTTTTACAAAAGAAAGAACTCGAAATGGACGCAAAATTGCAAAGAATAGTTAGTTTCTTACTAGAGAAAGGGAAATAATTACTTTAACCGACAACGTTTATTAGTTCTAATCAGTCGCTTTAACTAGGTAATTCTTTGAGAACCGTTTTAAATGTTTATTTTCTGTTAATAAATTCAATTATTTCATAATAAACTTAGCCCGATTGGGATGAAAGTGCTATCCGATACGGTTCTAATCCTATTAGTGCATTAGAAGAAATTCGTCGTAGAACCCGGTACACCGGGCAACCACGGACGGCGACTGATTACGAAAACAATGCAATTTTCTTCCAAAAATGAATTAAATTTGAACAATACTTATTGTGTGGTTGTATGCAACGACAAGGAAATATAACGAAATAACAAACGGTTATTATTCGTATAGATGATGAAATGTTTCAAAATGATATGCTCTTGACAAAATTATTCAAAATAAGAAAATGGATATCATACCGCCATTTTAAAATCCACTCTATATCTTCGAACACTATATATATATATATATATATATATATATATATATATATATATATATATATATATATATATATATATATGTTTTGTTTTAGTCCTTCACGGATTTGAAAATTAATACAAGCCAATTTAAACAACAGCAGCGGCTGTATTAATAACGGCAGTTTCCTATTAAAAGTAGGGCGTGAAATGACAAACCCACAGTTAAAATTCGAGTACATATGTTTCACCCCCGCTTATGACAAACTACTACATTTTCCGCATAGCAACATTTTTTGCCGTAATTAAATTTTGCGAGGTTGGAAGGTCCTTGACCAAGGGCCTGAATACGATACTGGACGGAAACATAAACAACCGACCGTAGAGATACTACGAAGAGTAAACAGATGTTTCTCCCCGCCCATCGCGTCTGTCGTTATTGTAGTAACTGTTTTGTTTTGTATTTCCCTGCTACGTCGCGTTACTTAAAGTAATTACGCTTATCGATTTCGACGGAAAACGCAAAAAGTCTCACGATGATATCGCCAACGATGCCTTGGGGGATTAATTTATATAATTTTTTCGCCAGGGGTTAAAAACCTACGGCTGTGCTAGTCTGATAAAATATTACGGTGATGGAACACATTTTTTTTTTATTTAATAATTAATAATTTAATATTAAATAATAAATAAAAATCTTAGATCCCTTATAGATTATGTCATAAAGACTAGACTCTAAATTACTCTCTTTCTCCCTGTGCCAAAACCCAATTATGTACTAATCAGAAGACGTCCTACATTTATTAGGAGAAATAATTTTTATGACTTCTTAATTCGTTATAAGTATTTCTGTATTGAAAAAATATATTTTGATCATCAGTTCAAAGATGCTGTGAAAAAAAAAACTAATAGTTCGTTGTATATAATAGGCATAATAGGCATAATATTGACAGATCATCCAATATGAGAAACATTTGAAATTATCATTCATTATAATTCGTAATTAAACGCGGTAGCAATTTGATCAATTTGTTGAGCGGTAGCCAATCATTAATTTGAAAAATCGAGGTTTTTTTTGAAGGAGAGTCTAAGTCTAAAAAACATCACCAAATCCAGGGATAACCCAAGTTGCGATTCTAAAAGATGTATGCACAGAGACTACATTCGAGTCATTAAAAACGTGCTTTGCAAGCTCGTACTTCTCTCATCGTTAAACTTTTGTGTCAACAAAATTTGTATAATATGGTTCGGGCCTGACTTCTTCGACACAAAGCGAATTCAAGCTCTTGGTATTTGACATTTGTACGAGTATCTCATAACAAGCTTATATAATATTAATAATATCACATCGAAATACATTTAAACGTATACTTAAGGGAAAAATTATTTAAAATTATCAGTACTGAGGTTATCTAGGAACAAATCAACTTCTTTTTATTCACTCCGACACTACTAAAGCATTTCATTTTTTTGTTCTGTCGCATGTGGAATATTTTTGATAAATTTTCAACATTCCAGCAAGTTCAAAATTATTGTATTTCTGTGTGTTAGTCATTGAAAGGACACTTATCTAATTAAAAATTACCTGCAAAGAAGGAGAAAAATATCATTTTAAAAATTATTTAAATACTAAAGTTTCTTAAAATACAAGAACAAAAAAACGGAAAAGAAAGCAAATACCAATACGATATTGGACTTAAATTGTTTTTTTTAAATTAGATATGTCAATTTTTGATTGGTTGATTTCGTTAGCTGACTATCCTTATTATTACTTTCATATATTCTTATAATCTATCATCGGGGAATCTGAAAATCGAAATATGTTTTTGTTCACTTCTAATGATAGATATGTGGATTACTAAACATTGCAGCTTCATGCTTTCTAGACCCCTTTATATTATCTTTAACCAATCTTTAAAAATCAAGCTTCATTAAATGTTTTCAATATGCATTTTTCCAATTGACGACCTAAAATTCTATATGAGAGTCCTAAATGCTTTATAAAACTCGAAACCGATTTAGATTACGTTTCGCTATGGTGCGATTTGAATGAAATAGAACTATATATTAATAAATGCCAACTAATCAACTTCAACTGAAGCCAAGTGATTATAACATAAAAGGTTCGCGTTATTGCAGACCTTCATAATAAGGGATCTTGGAGTGTTACTTGATGTTAAATTGACTTACACATACCATGTTTCTTTTAATGTGTCTAAATCACTTCAGGTTTTCTGCTTTATTGAGCGTTGTACAGTGGACTTCCAGAATATTCCGTCTCTCAGATTACTGTTCTGCTCCCTCGTGCGTTCACACCTAGATTATTGTTCCTGTGAGTGGTCACCTTCGTATAACATCCACATACAGGCCATAGAAAGAGCGCAGCATAGGTTCCTGCGGTATATAGCGTTTAAGGAGCACCAAGGACTTGACGACGTCGATTGTAAATTTCTCTCTAACTTACAACTCTCCCGATTCGTCGCATGCGTAGGGATGTCACCATTTTTTATAATCTACTGCACTCAAATTCTCATGGACTTGAGTTGTTATGCAAGATTGGGCTTCTCGCTCCTCCCCGCAAAACTGGAATAAACCACTCCTTCCAGGTAGAGTTCCATCGTACTAAGTATGAGCAGAGTTCTTTTCTTACTAGATCGGCCGTACTAGCAAATCACTTTTTGGACAAACTTGACTGGTTCAAGAGTGCAAAAATATTTAAGAAAGAACTAATAGACTGTCAGTAAAACTGTTCCGTTTTCTGACGTCTGAGTTGTATTGTATAACAATGTGTTGATGCCTCGCTATTGTTATATGTGTTCTTACTGTCGTGTCGACTCCTATATTAATTTTAATATTTTGGAAAACCGTCATACTAGGGTTGGGTCTTTATTTATCTATTTCTTTCTGTATTATTTTTGTTTTATTTTATTTTATTTTGTTTCTTACTATTTTGTTTATGTGAATCTTATTTTATATTGGGCGGTGGGCCCATTGATAAATAAATAAATAATTAAATATAATTATTTATTTGGTATATACGCACCACGTTTATAAATGATCCTAAGGGCGTATATTTTCCTAACACAGCAGTCAGACGCACACAGACCTACTTCTCCAAAATAATTATTTCCGGAGCCCAGGCAGGTAGAAATAATGTTTGCTTTTAACAGCTTTCAGATTCCAATTTCGAATAACAATCGGGTTTTGTTACAGGTGCAATCCCACTAACGGCAACTCGGCCCGTGATAATTGTGGCAGCAACAAGGACTTAGAACGGGCAAATTCGAAACCGATTCGGGCGCAATATGGCCACGGATCCATGTAATTACGCCGATTGACTCTCGAAAAAGCACTCTCTCGGGAGAGAGGTGGAAGCAATGATCGGTGTTAAATCGACTCGTCATTCAGATAGCGATTGTATCGATACTTTCGGGGTGGCAGTTGGTTCTCAAGGGGAAAGGTTGAAAGACGTACAAAACGAAACCGACTTACTTGTAAGGAATGATCTTATATAACCATGCAGGTAATAATATTTATTTTCTTTATGTTTGTGTTTATTTTAAAATAAAGATCTGTGACATTTGTTAACTAAACGAAAACGCAATTAGTTGGTATAGGGGATGGATATCCTCTTTTGGGAAAGTTGATCTGAATAATATTAAAACAGATAGCGATAAATAATGAGATTGTTTGTTGCTTTTTCTTTCATGGGCTTAGGTATCCATTGGAGATATTAGTATGCTTCAAAGGTCATTTAGGCTGTCGTTATGCCAAGCCATGGTCTAAGATTCTTTGTGCAAGCTGGAAGATACAATGCAGTAAATCACTATATTTCTCATGATGTCACCCAGGTATCGAAACTTAACGCATTTAAGAACATGTTGACAATTTCGGCAGAAGTTTTTACACTTCGTAATGTTTTCTCAAAAATCTATTATATCCATCGTATCTGTCAGATTCCCCTATACGACCAGTGTTGAGATGCTTGAAGTGCAAGCATGGTCCAGGTCTGCAGTGGGTACAAGGGAACTGCCTATATACGTGACACTTGAGCAGTCTTTTCTTTATTTCTAGTTAGACGTTGCGACTTTTGAATGCTTGACTCATAAATAGGAAAATTAATGATTAATGATTAATTCCTAGGATCAAAATCATTTTTAGTTTTCTTGTCCCCCATTAATCTCATAGGGAAGTATACAAGTTCAAGCTTATATGGACTAAGGGACCACTTGCGTCAATCTGCAAGTCATGACATTATTCTTGTAATCGCGACATGTAACCGGTATTTAGCATGTATTTCCTGCTATCCAGACTTTGAATGCCTATTAGCAACGTGTGTCAGTAGAAATTTGGCATTTTTTATTCCAAAAGGTTCACCATAGACAGATAACCACATATGTTACCAAGAAATGTTATTAAGTTTCCCTAAGATCGACAAGATCTTTCGATAGATTCCAACAGTATCCCCTATCTGTCAAAAACTATGTTTTTATTCACAAGCTGCAATACAGAACTGACTTTATTTCTTTATCTGTCAAATACCATATTGGCATAGTCCAAAAAATAGACTCGTCATTGGTAGAAACTTAAAAGTCGTGTTTTCCTTGAAACTGTATCGAATCTACATTGTAAAAAATTCATCGTCTAAACTAGTCTATTGGCATATCATTATAAAACTTTTGATTGATTCGAAAGCCGGGTAAATTATTAATGCGGAAAACTTTCGAACGACTTTTATATCGCAGAAAATTTTCTAAACTCGAATGTGCCTTCGGAAAAATTAATGTCGAACATCCCGGACGAAAAAAAGAACGAGGCGGATTTTTCAAGATTACGCCAGAAGTTATATGTAACTCCATGTTAATTGAAATACGCTACTTAGGAGCCTAAGTGCTTTATCAGAAATTTAGAAATTTTAAGTTATTAGCTTCAAATTTATTATGTTTCATTGTCATTGATTAAGTTTATAAGTTGATGTCGTTAATGTAATTGTCTGATTACAGATAATAATAAATAATAAATTTCTAGCTAATAACTTAAAATTAGATAAGCTGCACACTTAAGATAAGTTGGATATGCTCGATAGTTTGAGTCAGAGCTGCTTCGATGAGTACTTTTAGGTACTTTTGGTAATATTACTAAAAATTCTACCGATACAGAATCAGTATTAACAATCTATGACTTCAGGATCTGGAACCAACTAAAATTTTAGCCCTAGTTATTGATTTACAACTAAAGTTTTCCAGCCATATATTATTAGATATTATTGTGCTTTAAAAGCCATATCGAATCCAAATATCAGTTAAGAGCTTTGCAATGCTCTTATTTTATCTCTTTTTAATCATTGCGACATAGAGTATGGAGCTAGTCTAGACTGTCAAGACTATTATAGAATTCAGAAAATGCTGAATTGGTATATTAGGTAGGTTCACATGAAATGATAAAGTCGGGTTTCCCACGAGTTTAAAGAAATTGCTTTAATTAAGATGGAAGAAAATTGCCTTCTAATCTATTATTTTATAAGATCATTAAATATATCATCTACATTGCTGGAAAAGCGCATTAACAAGACCTAAACATAAAAACCGAATATGCTCTTACTCCTCTATCAAAAAATAAATTGAATTAAAAAAATCTTTACAGCATACTGGGCTTTTCATCAAACCCATCACTTAGTAAAGATAATCAAAAAGCAATTCAAAACGTCGGGTTTACTTCGAGATTCACGCACAACTTTTAAAGCCCTTGTTACAACCACATCTTACAGAAGATTTATTAATTTTTGTTAACTTTTCCCCGTTATCCGCCAAGGTATCCGTCTGATAAACTAAGCAAAGTTCGATGAGTTTGTTACTTTGTAATATATTTTCCCATATTTTTAATAAAGAGATCCAGGAAGTTGAAAAGAGTTTGCACTTTCCTTTTGAAACACATTCGTTAAAAAATAAAAACGAAAATAGAACTATCTAGTCCTGTCAGAATCTTCGATTTGAAACACCCCATACAAGTTAAACTCAAAATTTAATTTCATAAGGAGTTAAACTCGAGACGTTTCGAAATTTTGTCGACTTGCGGAAAGTGAACAGAGAGAAATATCAAATGTCCCATTAATGTAGGCTGACAACATTCCGCCTTGTCTATTACAAAAGCTCGAAAATTCATCACTCGCAGTTTCGGAGGCAAAAAATGTGAACGCTCTCTTTTCTGTTCGGTATGAGTTGAAAGCCCGTTAAAGGCTTTAAAGTGGCATTTTGTTTTATGCGAGATTCATCCGAAAAGAAAGAATATACGTGCGATGTACCTTTAATTATCCATATCAATTTCCATCATTTTTTACAGAACGTATTGTTATATTGATTTCCAATGTTATTAGGTTTCTCTGGTGTTCATAATTGATATTTAGACGTTGTCTTTTCATTACACCGTGATCACAAATATGTACAGCTGGAACTGTTGTTCTGGTACCTGCTTGTAGTTTACAATAGTGGTCTTACTTTTTACAAAACTTCTGGATTCCTCCTGAGTCGGTTTTTGCTGAGTCAAACTTGTTAACGTTTCGTCAATCATCCCGTTAGCTTCTTCAGAGCTTGAGGGGGCGGTGCTAAATGAGGGGCATAAACACCGTCTCGGATGACTGAGTCCCATATTGGTCCATATGTCCGGTTTCGTGATTTGTTCGGCAACTGCTGATGAGTTTATTTGTCTTAGCCTTAAGGCTCTTTCTTTGACGCATATGCATGGAATGCTCCTGGCATCTCAAATGTCAACAACAAAGTTGATAGCAGAGTTGTCCGAGTCACTGAACCTAGAATTAAAAAACCTCTGCTCTTTTCTCTAATAATTTCCAAATTAAAGATATTAAGCGTTCCATCACAAAATACATTTCACCACAACTTTCCAATAGAAATGGGGCCGACAGCAATCGTACACTGGTCACTTGCTTTCCTTGCATTCAAAACATCACTGACCACATATCAAATGTTCCAAAGAAATATAACGTCAAAACCCGATTTACCACTTGTCCAAAAATCTCTCATCATCTTCGATCCGTCAAAGACAAAATTGCAATTGAGATGCCAGGAGTTTACAGCCGAACGAAAAATATCAACTAGGCTCAAAGAACACGAAAGAGCCTTACGACTAAGACAAATAAACTCATCACCAGTTGCCGAACACAATCACGAAGCCGAACTTACCATTTTATTCGATAAAACTAAATTTCTTGCATGTAATTCATTCTTCTACCAACGAAAGATCTGAAAGTCTATAGAAATCTATAAACAACCTAACAATCTTAATTGCGACTTCTTTACCTGTCATCAATATGGGAATTAGTCATCCGAGACGGTGTTTATGCCCCTCATGTAGCTCCGCCTCCTTCAAACAATATATAAGCAGGTGCAGAGTAAAATGCTTGCCAGTTTCAGTCAAGCTCTGAGGAAGCCAACAGGATGAACGGGGAAACGTTAGCAAGGCGGAATCCAGAGGTTTTGTAAAAAGTGGAAGTTTCTTTGAAAAATTAATGGTGGTCTTATCTGCTGCGACAAAGACGCAACAGAAGAAGAAACGTAGTGCTTGTAAAAGGTGCTCTACTTACTTTAGGAATAGAATTGATCGTTTCCTAATTAGAAAAAAACAGTTCACTTTCGGGAGTACTTTAATGATAATGGAATCTAACGCGTTGTATGTATTCATTATTCGTTATCACATTTAATGGATGCACGAAGTCTTAAGCAGACGGAGAGAAGAAGCACACAGTTCTTACTTAATGCGACCCTAATCCAAAAAGGTAAAAACTCTTTGCTAAAGGGTAACTTTGAGCCCCCTTTAAACGATGCTGTTTAGCTCTAGCCTAATGTGACCTATTAGAGAGAACTTTGCCGAGGCGACGACGTTATCTAATTTAATTATTTAATTTAATTAAGGATCACCACTAGTGGCAAAGTATTATAAACCGCATTTTTAAAAGCGAATGCGAAACGTTTGTATTTTAAACTGCAAACTCTCGACGCAGCAAATACAACCACCCTTGTAACTATCTTTGCCCAATGTACACGGAAGAGGGCCAATAAATTTGTACTCTTTCAGTAGCGAATGAAACAACCAACATCGATTAATTGATGTATATTTAATGCTCGCGTCATATTCGGTCGATGTTGGTGGCATTTCGTTCCGTTGTTTATTCTGGTTCGGATTGTTCTTCGCAAAATGTTTTGGAGTAATTTATTAGGTCGAACCGGTGAACGTAAAATGACAAAACGTCCCTAATTAATTGACAAGCGTACGTAGAATAACATTAAATTGTTTATCTGGATTGAAAATCATCAGCAAAACTCAAAAATATTAAATCTAGTTGATATTTACCAACGCTTTATGTGATTTGGCGTTTGACTGTGATTATATGGAGGACTTGACAGTTGTAGTCTCATTATGGTCCACATTATAGCTAACGAGTGATATCTAGTGTGTGTAAGTAATGTGCATCCACAAACTTTTTTAATTTTTATAACAAATACATAACAA